AGGGAAGGTCAGCCTGATGGATACATCCTGACATGCACACAGCCTGTGATGTCAGCTGTGTGTCTGTGTGTGTGTGCGTGTGTGTGGGCTGTCGGGCCAGCCAAGCGAAGTTCAGCAGAGGGCGGAATAGGCAGCGGGGAGGGGAGCGCCACAGCCTGGCCTCGGCGGCCTAGTTTAAGGAGGTTTTGCTTGCAGAGGGGCGGCTAAGGAGGGATGCGATGGTGAGGTTGGGCGAGCGGGCCGAGGTGTTGGGGCGGGTTGGGGTGGCAGAAGAAAGGCCTCATTCATGAGTCGTGCCATCTCTGTCTCCCAAGGGGATTGAGGCTCATCAATGACCAGGCCAGCTGGGAGGATGTCAAAACGCAGACTGGCTCCCTCTCTCCCCGTCCCAACCTCTCTTTGTGGGGACCTGGTGCTGTCAGAGGCAGTAGCCCGAACACTGAGCCCTCTCATGCTGCTGGGTGCCCATTCAGAACCATTCAAAGCCTTTGGCTAGCCTTAGTTTACATGCTGTCTGTGTTGTATGAGACATGCATAGTCTAGAACAATGGTTCCCAATTCAATTCAGTTTTATTTCGATAGCGCCAATTCACAACAAATGTCATCTCAAGGGATTTCACAAAAATAATTTCAGTCCAATCACATTTTCATTCCCAACAGTGCAGTAAACTCAGTTAATTATCCAAAGTAGCTCAAAACGTTTCAGACGTTTTCAATCTTGAATTGAGTTTTAACTTAATGCTGCAATTTAAGCCAAATAATTATTTCTTAAAATCTGCCCTCACCTAGTTAAAGGACACATTTCCCTATTATTTTTACTCACAATATTAAATAAAAATAACTACTGCACTTATTTTACTTTAGAATAATTCAAATTACTGTTTCAAATTGCATGAACAAAATGTCTGACCTGATAATGAATTTTATTAAACATTACAGTGAATTCTGCTTTTAACATTTAATGTGAACAGGACATCATCCTCAAGCTTTGCAAACTGAGAAATGCATTAAAATCAACACACAAGAGTCAGATCAATGTAACGCGCTACTTGTACTCTTGGTACATTTTTTGAGACTAAATTAGCTCCATAGAAATACAACAAAAGCTGCTTTCTTTGTTTCTTCTTCTCTGATGACCTAAAATATGAGCAATATTAATATTAAAACTTAAGCTGGGAATGTTGCAGCTCATTTTGTTCGTCAGTTTGATAATCAGGTGATTGAATGCAGAACGCCGGGGCCTGTGGTTTTATAGAGATAATTAAATATCAGGTTCTCAGTAGTTTAATTTTTTTTATTTAGGGCAGGGTGTGAAAACTTATGAAGAACCAGCAGATTTACTCCATAATGTGTTGGTTCTTGTCTTACATCACAGTTAATTTGATTATACATTACAAGTAACCTAAGCAGAGTTTAGCATGATGGTATCTGTAACCACATTATCGTGGATTTGATTTATCCTTTGGCACCGAACGAAACAGAGATTTTAACACTGTACGTTTTCCCAACTATGTCTCCAAAATGAAGTATCTGTTAACTCCAGAAGCCAATCTGCTTCTACCAAGCATTTATTAACAGTAAATTTAACTACACTTAACCAGTTCCATTGCCGAAATGATCCAAAGTGTGTAAATTGTCCGGTGTTGTGTGCTGTTCTTGTAGAGAGCAAAAGGAGAACAGAGAAGTAGTGATACGCTCAGCAGATGTGTGCACTCATCACTTCATTGCTTATCCATGCCAGTGATAGGCCTGCATTAGCAGCAACTTCAAGGTGCTCTGCAGGCAGTGGCAGATGTGCATTGGTGGGGGCAACTTTGCATTTGTGGTTTCATGTCATGCACAACAAGGTTACTCCCTCTCCCTTCCTTCCTCTCTGTTTTTGTTTTGCTGATCTGTCAGAGAAAGAGGGGAAACAAAACGACCCTTAAACACAGTAATAGTGTAAAACTGGAGAAACCGCAGGCTGCAATCGATCCAAGTCAATAAAACCAGTCACCACAAGCATCGAGACATTCATGCTCAGATTCAGTTTAAAAGAGCAGCAAGAAATGGAAATATCACTTTCACTTTATTTTAGTGGATTTTGTGGAGTTCAGCGTTTAAATCACTCGAGCAGCATCACACTTTAGATAGAAAAGAGAAAACATGGTTACACTGAGGTTCCTCTCGGTTGCAAGTCTTTATTAGAGGAATCTGACTCATAACAGAAGTTTCCCTGCATTTTTCTTCACTGAAGTACTTGCAAAGGTATAAATGGATCAAATCAGCTTTTTGATCCATTAGAGTTTTGAAAAATACCTACCACTGTAAATTAGAGAGTATGCATGCTCCGTTTGTTTTGAATATTAGAAATGTGATTTAGATAAACCACACTAACCATATTGCTCTCAATATATTGTCAAAAAATCACCAATGTGGCATTGTTGTCTCCGATTTTTCAGCTTCTTCAACAAGCAATAAAATAAGTAAAGAGAACTGAAAGGCCAGACACTCAACAGAACCTCAACCTCAAATGTTTCTGTGTTTTTCAGCATCTTAAATACTTTTTTTCTGGTAAAGGAATATTATACATTTAATATCGTGAATATTTTATTGTAATGCATTTTAATGCATTTGTAAGCAATTAACAAAGGTGACAAATTTTCTCAAATAAATTAATTGTGCCATGGTTCACCTGAACACAAATGGTTGATATATAAAGTCCCGGTACAGAAGGCTCCGTTATGCCTGGAAATACGGTAGTCAGCTATGAAAGAATCAAGATTGTAGGAGCTAAATGACGAGATGTTGTTGTTAAACAGTAGCTTTAATAAAAATCTAAGTAACTTAATAAACTGATAAGTTGAACACAGAAACAATAAATGTTGATTTACTTTAGCTAGCAGCAAGTAACCAACAGCCAGTAGCTTTTAGCTAGTAGCCACAGTCTCTAAGTGCTCTCAAATTTCCAACTTGGTTGAAATTTTTATAAATAATGATTTTTAGTAACATTAAAGTTTTTGTGTGGATGACAGGCCAAAACATAAATATGTCTCCGTTTTCTCAGATGTGGACATGGCTACATGAGGACTACGCAGAACTACATGTCAGGCATTGATGTATTCAGAAATTTAACTGCACAGAAACTGGACATGAATTCATGGTGCGGTTTGCGTTGAATCTTCTCGTGAAATTCAGGGAAATGGCGACAGCAGCAGCTACGTTTACATCGGTCCCCATGTTGTCAGTGAATCTCCAGCCCGTCTCCTTTTCTCAACCTCCTCGTCTTCCTCGCGTTATCGCCTCCTGGCAGTCCACTCTCTGCTTCTTGGGGAACCTTTTGACTGATGCCCCAGCTCATTGTGTGTGATGTTGACTCTGTATCGGTGTGTAACGGTGCCCTGAGATACTGTTACCACAGTGTTGTCTTTGGTGTCTGCTCCACTGCTGCCCTTTAGACCCCAATAACCACCTTCTGTCAGTTTGTAAAGCATTTCTCCCTAACCTTTTATTGGTGCCTCTCCCTCTTTGGAACAGTGTATTCTGCTTCCTTCTGTCTTTTACAGCTTATAATCATCTGTCCTTGTAATGCCTGCAGCCTCCATGTTTCAGCCATATCCCAATAAAAACGCGGCCTGTTATTACTCCTCCGTCACTGCTGGCAGGCTGCAGTTGGAGACGTTCTTCTAACTGTGTGCAGTGTTTTCATTCATTTACCTCCAACTCTTTCACATCTCTGTAAAGTCTCCCCATAACATGCTGTTTCCCATGACCAAAACCCTGCCAGAGCCCTTCGAGTCCTGAGGAGTGGGGGGCGAGTTACCATGGCCACGGCAATCAGGATTGCGAACTTGAAACTTCCCAAGATCCGCCTTGAGCTCCTTTGAACTGCGTGTCATGCTGTTAATATATATTACAGATGAATGGAAAGGGGTTTCTGTGGATTCAGCCTAGATTAGGTTTCTGTGGAGCCCAGAGACGACATCCCACCTAGAGCAGGAAGAAGAAAATGTTGGACTAAGAGTGTCCCTCCTATAGCAATGACAGGCGGAGAATCTCTTAAAAGTACTTTAGTGTGAGGAATCGCGGGGCTCCTGGTTATTTTGGGTGTCATCGAAGATGTGAGTGTATTCGTCTTTCTGACAGCACAAACCAAAATAAATAAGAGCTCTGGACTGAAATATATGAGACCATCAATCTTTTGTCAAGATAAAAACTTTTATTTTAAGCAGAAAACAAACAATTAGTCCTACTGCTGCAACAATTTGCAATATTGGTGATTTGTTAAGTGATATAAAATAAAATATAAATGAAAATATTGAATAAATCCTACAATATGTAGTGGTTCTAATAACTGCCTTTTTAAAGCAGTGTAGGTCTTGTTTGCTGTCAAACAGCTGAATTTATCTTTGTGGTTTGCGATCTCTCTTCCATCATTTAAAGGATTTAAAGTTGAGGACTTGTATGAAGGGAAGGTCTTATAATCTCTGTGTCTTTGTGCTGGAAGCTGGACCACATCTAAGCGTGTCAGTACCAGCGTTTCCACAAGTCCAAGCTGAACTGATAAAATTGATTATATTATAAATGATCTGAAAGTAGTCTCCTATAAAACTGTCTAAAACGCATTTCATGCTAACAGCTCAGCAGCTCAGGAAGAAATCTTCCAACGCTGCAGATTAATTGAAATGTCTCTGGTGTCCATATGCAGGAATGTGATTTTTATTTTCTGTGTGTGTTTTAATCATTATCAGCTTTGGAGTGTTAAAATATTTTGACATGTATTCCTCCTCCATGTTGACGGTTCCCTCTGCGTACGACTCCAGGCTCCTGTCCATCAGCTCAGATGAGCTGCCAAGAAATTGCTCCTCAGAAGATTTTAGCTGATTTATCAAAAGTTATAACGTAGAAGTTGCTTTCATGTACATTTCATTGGCAGTGAGTTTATGAGTTTTCCACTAATACGCAGCGTTTTGAATAAAGCTGTGGGATCTCTGACCCACGTGTGTTTTGTTCTCCCTCAGGGCTCCAGAGATCATCCTGGGCCTGCCGTTCTGTGAGGCCATAGACATGTGGTCGCTGGGCTGTGTAATAGCTGAGCTGTTTTTGGGATGGCCTCTCTACCCCGGAGCCTCCGAGTACGACCAGGTAACACATCATTACCTCACACACACTGGAATAAAAGACTTCAAGTAAACATGACTGAGCCCCTTCAGACTAGCCAGCAGCAATTAGCAAACACCTGGTGGACCTGCACATCATGTGAGCTACTTCTGGTAAAAATGTTGTTAAGGGGTTAATAAGCAGAATGCTGTTGTTGTCGGCAGAAAAGCTAATTTATGTTCAACAAAATTCATCAAGTTACTTTAGCTTTGTAATTCTTAAATTGCACATCGTAGCTTCACTCGTTTTTATACATTGCAGTTTTTGATTCTTTTGAGGCAATTGGTTTGCACAGATTTAAGTAAACAACTGATTTTCCCAACTTTTGCTTTTGTTTATGTGCTGCTGTTGGTTCTTTATGAGGTAATTCAGATAAAATGCGATCATTTTGCAGGCTAGCATGGCTGCTGTTCTACATTGCCGTGTTGCTCTTTCCTACCAGCAGATGTTCTGATCTGACTGATTATCTTTTTTTGACATAAGAAAATCTTTCGTGCATAATTTGCTTTTAAGCCCTTTCTGGCATTTCCATCATTATCTGTCATTATCTACGTAAATGTATTTTAAGCCTTCAAACAAGCCTTCATCATAAAGCATTTCCCTTTTTTTATATGCTCTAATGACTGTCTCAGACCTCAAAGTTCTTTCAAAGCATTAGCTTCATTTTGGGTGTTTTTTTTTTTTTTTTTGCATTTCTGTCTTGCAGATTCGGTACATCTCACAGACGCAGGGTCTTCCAGCAGAGTATCTGTTGAGTGCAGGGACGAAGACCACCAGGTTCTTCAACAGAGACCCAGATTCCACCTATCCCCTCTGGAGACTGAAGGTACAAAACAAAATAAATAACTAGATACATTTACTTACATCACTTTGTGGCTGAAATGTACTTTCAGGAGTAGTTTCACTACATCGTACTTTTACTTTTATAAAGTATCTATTTAAATTTCTGGATACTTTACCTGTGAGTAACTTCACTGAATGAAGAAAAACAAAAACTGAAATAGAATGAAATACAGACAACAGACAAACCTACAGTTTAAGTTAAGGTGAGACTTCTTGTTTGTGCACAATGTTTGTTTTTTTAATTTTATTTTCTACCTGTTGAGTCTGCTGTATGATGAAGATCTGGAAGTGTCAGATAAGTTTTATGTGTCAAGTCAAGTTTTATGATTTGGAAAAGTGCTGCCTAAATCTACTATGTTGTAGTCATGATATTTATTACTAGTAATTTTTCTTTTTAGTTTTTAAAACACCAGAATAACTTTGCATTCTTGTTTGTTTGATGTCATCAGTTTAAATATTAAATCAGATTCTGACCAGTTACTCAGTAGTTTATTAGCCTTTTAAACCAAATACTTTTTACTTTTATGATTTTTGGGTAAACTATCCACCTGTGCTAATTTCGATTTATGAAACAAAACATGTATAATGAAAAGATAAGAATAAGATAAACAAATATTGCACTATAAACCCAGAACAAAGTGAATAACTAAGTGTGTGTTTTTATTTTTTCCTGCCGTACATGTGAGGCATTAAACTGAGGCTTCTGTTGTGTTCTGACTGTAATGAAGGTAAAATGGATCTGTGTGGGAGCTCTGACGCTGCTCTGAGCTCCACTCACTGCCCCACTGTGCTCCATTTAGGCCACTCAATAAACAACGTCAGCTTCATCTGAACTTCTGGGGGTCACACAGACATTTTGCATATTGACTGCGATGAGCTGCAAATATGATTCCTCTCTGCAGCACATAAAGATGTAACAAAAACACAAAATCTTACCAATTATATTTGTCTAGTTCTTATTTAGTGTACATTTGTTTTTCATCTGCAATTGATCTTTTCTGGCTGAAGGTCATTTGCCCTTTGGGAACAATAAACTTTATCTAATGTAATCTAGTTTCTTGTGCAAATATCTTAATACACCTGAAATAAAACAAACTTACAAGAAACTTTTCAGTAAGATATATGAGCTTGCTTTAAGTCAATAATTCTTGAGTATTGATAAAAACTATTGAAACCACTGGCTGATTTTTTCACTTAGAAAAAATGTCTTGTAATAAGTGAAATAATCTGCCAGTGAAGCTAGTAATTGTCATCAATATTAATGAGTTATTTACTTAAAACAAGCTTGGATTTCTTGTTGAAAAGTTATTGCAAGTTAGTTTTGTCCTATTTCAGGTGTACTGGGATGCCTGCACTAGATAATAAACCAAAAATACTTAGTAAGATGTTGTGTTTTTGCAGTGTAAATGTCTTGGTAGTGAAGAAATAGCATGCAAAAGCAGGGTTAGGTTCTTAAACAACATTTTACACTCATCTTACCTAACCTACATGCACAACACCATATCTAGTGGAAAAGTAACCTGAATACATTGTTGCCTTGGTGAAGTACAGTGGTGGCATCATGATCCTGTGGGGATGCTTTCTTTTAACAGATGCAGGGAAGATGATCACACAACATGAGAGGATAGATGGAGGAAAATTCAGGCCAAGTTTGGAAGAAAACTGGTTTTAAGTTGCAGATAAAACAGGAGGAGTAACTCAGTCATTTATGCAAGGGTGTGAATACTTTTGCAAGACAATTTTAAGTTATATATATATATATATATATATATATATATATATATATGTGTGTGTGTGAAGAGAACACGCTCTAAAGGGATTTATTTCTGTTCCAAAGAAACCCTAAAAACACCTCATTTTACTCATTTTTTATTTTTTCTGCTATATCTGTAAAATTGCAGAACAAGCAAACTTAAAATAACTTTATCATGAAGTTCAGGAAGAACGGAGTATATTAAAGTCATCATGACATGGCTGAGCAGAGCTGCCACAGTGCTGCAGCTCGTTACGACTGTCCCACATCTGGTTTGTGTGAAATCAAGGCATCCTTGAAACGTTTCTCTGTCCCTTCCTCTTTGAAGAGCGACGGCTGAGCTTTAACTCGACCTCGCCATGTGTTTCCACCAAACGCCAGCTGTGGCGCATTGCTGGCTGTAATTAAAGATACGTTGTGTTAAGCCAGGAGATTTCTGCAGTCGGTGTAAATCTGCATCTGTTGGAACGTAATGATGGCATGTTTATACCCGTCAGGTTTGTGTCTGTCCAGGTGCTCCAGTGTAAATTCGCTGTGTCGTCTGCGTATTGTTGCGGCGTTGGTGTGCAATCTGTTAGCAGGGCATTTGTGTGTTACCCCTGGGTTACTCAGAGGGCAGGATGAGGTCTGCTGCACATCAACAACAAGAGGCTATAATGAGCCAAATGTAAATAGTATATTTCCTGAGGGAGAAGTTTGATGGTATTTCTACCAAACATCTGCTTCTTGTCTCCTGCAGACTCCGGAAGACCACGAGGCTGAGACGGGGATCAAGTCCAAGGAGGCTCGCAAGTATATCTTCAACTGCTTGGATGATATGGCACAGGTACGCTGTCCGCGCAGTGTTGCCAGATTGGATAGGTTCTGCCCAATTGGGCTGCTTTTGAACTTTTGGCTGGAAGAAACACATTTGGACTGGTTTTTAGGAAATGTTTAGAGGAAAGTAGTTAACGTTGTGTGGCAGAAAAGCACATAACTTTTGACAAAGAGCTGTGTTCACACTTTTATTTTATTAGCTAATTTACTTTGAAATGAAAGTGAAATCATCAATTATTAGTAACTGGTTAATTAAGTGGCACTGTGTAGTAGAAATCCTAGTGCAACATCATGACTTAAAAAGACACAACCAAAAAAACCAAAAGTTTTATTGTCTTCCAGCAGTCGAGTCTTAATCAATCAATAGTTCGTCTTAATCAATTCCTAGTCCTGGGAGTTCTGAATCAATTCAAAATGCTCAAAAATCTATTTTAGACTGCTAAATTTTTTGTAAAATTATATTTTGAATAATTCTTTGATGTTTTTTTTTTTTTATTTAAGCAAAAGCTACGCAGCTAACCTGATAGTGGTAATTTAAATTTCAGAATTTCATGCACAAACGTATGAAACTGATGAAATATGATTCGGTATGGAACTGAATTTTTAAAAATAAATGTTCTGTTTGCTTACGCTATCATTTCTCCTTGTCTTTCACATAATTTAAACAAAATCTCTAAATGGAAAAACATGTTTCTGAATTAAAGATCATTTCTGAAGTGAATCGTAACCCTAAAAATCTAACTCAAATTAAATCCTTAAACAAGATTTACATGTTGTTTAAGGATTAGTCATGTAGTCATAGCACCACATATGACTACATGTGGTGCTATTAAAATAACTTTTATTGAGCTGATTTTGTGGAATTGGCCGGCGTTATGTTGTGTTTGGGCTGGAAACTGTCAGCCAGATCTGGCAACCCATCAGAGCAGGAATCTTCCTTCACAAGTCAAACCAGAGAACTATTGCTTTCTTCTGCTCTGCCTCTCACGTCCAGCACAAGCAGGTTAAGGTCCAGAGCCGGTTTGATCCATCGCGTCCTGACAATTATCTATCAAATGTATGAAATCCTTTTAAATATTTATGCTGCTGAGGCCGGATCTCCAGCTGCAGCAGAGTTCAACTGATACACGGAGTTTTACAGAGCCAAATGAAAGCAGCTGTTTGCTGAAACTCCCGCACGGCTCTTCGACTGTCTAATAACTAACAGACATTCAAACTGAACATGTGCAGCGACTGGCTAACAGGCCTTGATGCGTTCACTTTGTTTCTTTATTTATGCTGCTGGGTGCGGGCTGAGGCTGTTCCTCATCTGTATTTCATGTAAGCATGTAATAACCAAACCCACTAAATGCTGCTGATATCCTAAACCTCAGCCAATTTGCACTTAAGGGACAAACCATGTATGGTTAGTTCTTCAGAGTGTAGCTGGATAGCATTGTGTCAAGTGTAAAGCTCGGTGGAGGGGGTGTTATGATGTGGGTCTGGCCACTTAAAAAAGAGATAATATATATTTCTGAAAAGTTACTTGTAAATTAGTTTTGTCTTATTTCAAGTATAATAAAATATTTGCACAAGAAATTAGACAAAAATACTTGGTCAGATTTTGTGTTTTTGCAGTTTAGGGTTGGGGAGATTTCACTATCATGTCCCCATGACAGATCAGAACCTGAGTGATGATTACCTGTGTATAGATCACCCTTACCTGATTCTGCTGGTAGATAATGGGTTCAGTGATGACTAATATGGCTCAAATGTCATCGTCACGTTCCGTGGTTGAGCTCCTGATGATCGTTTCCAAGATAAAAAGGTTTGGGCAGGTGGATTTCCTCTGTTGGTGGATGTTCATCTTGATTACATCCAGACAGCGGTCCCTGGAAAAACCAGCCATGCGGACACCCGACACATGTTGCTGCTTAAATGATGGAGACAATTACGGAGGTTCAGTAGTGCCCAGGGCCAGTGTCAGGCCGGTCTGGAATAACGTGGTCAGCTGGGACGAGATGGTATCACTTCCCGGGATTGTTGGGTTTACAGCACCAGGCAAACGGTTTAATGAAGCCAACCTGTGCTGGCATGATATCCCCTGGGTTATCTGTATCTTCGGTGCTTCCAGCTCTGTATCCTGTCTTCCTCTGTTGCAACAATACTCGATTTACCAAAGAAACATGTGGAGGTGAGATTCAGAGCTGCTAACATGGGGTAAAAATGGCCTGTTTTACCCCATCTCACTGTCCTGACCGCATAAACAAGTCAGCACTGTGGACATCTGTGCCTCCGTTTATAATGGATGATATAGCTGAAGGCCCTGCAAGGCCGAGGGGCGGGGAGCCAGGAAGTGATAATGAACCTCCTTTTAGTCGTGGGAAATGTGTGGAGGCTTCATTATGAGTATATCTAATTGAAGGGAAATCAGACACCAGCTTACAGTAAATGCAGGACTGCAGGAGGAGTCCAGTGGAGAGCGAAGGAAGGCCGGAAATACTGTAAACATCCGCCGTAATCTGCAGTCCATCAGTTTCCTTACTGATAACCGTGACAGGATGGCGAGGGGAGCATCGTGGTCTTCCTTCTACTACACCGCCCTGTAAAAGGTCCTTTTCATCATGTTAAAACCATAAACAATAATGTATTTATTGGAATCTTCTTTGATAAACTCACACAAAATAGCCTGAGTGTTTGATGGAAGGAAATCAGTACAAGTCTTTAGTCAGGATCAACCGATCCACTTTTTTCACTTCCGATACGATACAGATATCTGAGGTTTAGCATCAGCTGATACTTATCCTATACAGAAAACCAGAATTGACTTAAAACTAGTTAATCTATTTAAAAAATGTAATCAGATTAATCAGACTCTAGAGCTGTGAGTAATAACTATGCATAACTTTATACACTTGAACTACAAAAAAGCATGTTTTGGAAAATGACATGCAAACCAAACATCTCCATTTTCTTATATTCATGAAGGTTTAAAATAATTATTTTGTTTCCAAAGTAGAAGGACAATTGACTGTTACAAAATGCTTTGCTTTGGTTTTATCTTTCTGTTGTTGTTTTTAATGCGCTCTAACGCAGCGTTCTGACTCTCCTCGCTCATCTCTTCACTCATGTTTGCGATTATGCGTTACTGATCGAAGTACGACGCTGTGCAACAGCTGCTTTGAACTGGGTAACCCTGCATGGGCGAGAGGCTTTTAGGTCAAAACACAAAATACGATTAATCAGCATTAACATGTGTTAATACATGCGATTAATCTAAAAGGTTTATCGCATTAATGTTGACAGCCCCACTTAAAACGTAACCAAAGAGTGAGTGAGTTGCTAGGTAACCAAACAGTGAGTTGCTAGGTAACCAAACAGTGAGTGAGTTAGTTGATGCCACCAACCTGGCTGAGCAGTTTTAGCCTTTTCTCTGCCTACATCTCCCAGAATGCTGTGCGTTTCTGGATCAGGGTCCGGTGAAATTATTGAATATTCTACCAGATCTATTATCCAGTGATATTAATCACGTTATACATTGATTGATTGACCAGTTTCAGCCTCTGTTTTTCCCTGGTTGTGTAAAAATGATTTGGGATGATGCTGAAGGCAGGACTGCGACATGCAGGCCATGATGACAGAGCAGCCTGGTTGATCCTGTTGCTCAGCATCTGATTGCCTTTCCTTCAGAAATGCTCCTCGCAGCACACACAGGACTGCCTGTGGTGTTTTGCTGTTTTGGGGGTTTTAATCAGTTTTAAAGAATTGGAAATGCCTAGCTTCTCTCTTCAGTTAAATCAGTAGATGGTAGAAACATTTTCCCCTCCTTTTTTGTTCATTTATCACTTCTGTTGGACCTGATTGTTCACATTTCCCCAAAGTCATCTCCCTACAGAGGACATTGTGATTATTTCTCACCTCATTTCGCAGATTATTCCTTTATCGAAGGCAGCGGAGATGACAAAGAAAGAGGCATGGCTGCAGAAGCTGAATAGCCTGCATGAAGATAGGGGCTTGAATCAGATTTGCCGTGTTGACTGGCAGCACATCTGATAGACCCTGGAGCAGACCCGCAGATAAGCGCCGCGTCTTTATGAAAAACAAGCCTGCTTCCTCCACACAGCAGTCACAATAAACAAGGCTGCCTGTCTGCTGCCTGGTCCTGCTCCCGCTGCCTGACAGGCTGCTCAGCGGCTACATCCTGACCTTGTTCCCCTCCGCTTCGTCCCTCACCAGACGCCACGACAATAAAAGTAGCTCAGAATCAGAATTAGTGCCTCACATACCGAATCAGTCTTTGCTTATGTGTGAAGCGCTAAAGCAGAAAGTTGGCTGCCTTGCCAAGTATTTACCCACAGCCTGGGCCGCTGTGTTTATTACGGCTGAAGCAGCTTGATGTTTCAAGGCAGCTTCCCAGAATTTCCCTCAGAACATATTTACATTAAGATGCCGTGTCAGCTTTTTCAGAGCTGCTCACAAACTGATATCCTGTGTGAAACTGACAGCCAGTGGCGCTGTTTATTGAGTTCCTCCGTTTTGTTTGTTTTTACGTCTTTGGAGGAGATAAAATTCTCGCAGAAGGCCCCGGGACATTTTTCATCTGCTGCTATGAGTACCAGTGCAAATGTTTCTAATCCCACTGCAGAACAAGGTTATCACTGAGCTCTGACACACTCCTTAAATTACGAGACCTTCTGTGTATTATTAGCTTCCTTCTTGGGAAAAGGATGTGGTGGAGATTTTTCTGATACCCAGAGCCCTGAATCATGCTCTGAGGAACTGTGCAAACCTGGAGATGCACCATTCACAGATTTTAAAGTTGATTTCTGATGATCTTGTAAACTTCTGACCTACAAAAACTGATTTTAAGAACTACCATTAATAAAAAAAACATCAGAATTTTCCTTCTTCCTGAATTAACTGAAAATTGAAAACAAAATTAAGTTCAAATACAGTAAGATTTTTTTTCTCAAAAACAATCTCAAATCACACAGCTGGCTTTCTCATGATCACCGATAATCCACAAATACAGTAAAATCCTCCAGGTTATGGGATTAAGAAACATATAAAACCCAACAGAAAATAATTTCAGGATCATTTCTTTACTCCCTTTTTATTTTTATTTTTTGCCTTCCTGAAAATGTAATGTGCCTCAAATCACAAAACAATCAAAAAGCTCTCCCAGTGAGACAAAAGCATTGCATTTTTTTCTCAATGAATAAATCTGTAACAAACCTTGTTTTCTTCTAGGTGAACATGACATCAGACCTGGAAGGGAGCGACATGCTGGCGGAAAAGGCAGACCGGAGGGAGTTCATCGACCTGTTGACCAAGATGCTGACTATCGACGCTGACAAGAGGATCACCCCCATCGAAACACTCAACCACCCCTTCGTTACCATGTCGCATCTCCTCGATTACCCTCACAGCACCCAGTACGCCCTTTTACTGCCGTTTGCACCGTTTCCTCTGTTGTGCGCCACGTGGGCTCACTCCTGCTCTGTCTGCAGCGTAAAGTCATGCTTCCAAAACATGGAGATCTGCAAACGTCGTGTCAACATGTACGACACAGTCAACCAGAGCAAAACGCCCTTCATCACCCATGTGGCCCCCAGCACCTCCACCAACCTCACCATGACCTTCAACAACCAGCTGAACACTGTGCACAGCCAGGTGAGAGTCAAAGGAGGCAGATCGCTGAACTGATGAGTTGTGTCCTTATGATGACAATGACTCTTCCATATTTAAATATTCTGCCACACATTTTGGTGAGTTTTATTGGGATTTTATGTGATAGACCAGGAGTTCCCAAACCTTTCCATGCCATGACCCTCCTAATATCTTAGAACTCTTGAAATAAGACAGAACTGACTTACAGGTAACTTTCAACAAGATATAGGAGCTTAGACAAAATAAACAATTTCTTTAATATGAAAGTTCCACTGTGAAATTATTTAACTTGTAATAGGACATTTTACCCATGTTATAAGTGAAATAATCTAGCAGAGGAACCAGTTCTTTTTGTCTAGAAATAGACTTAAAATACTTGGTAAGATTTTGTGTTTTTGCAGTGTGGGTATGAATACTTTTGGAGAAGCTGATTTATCGTTCTTTATTTAAAATTTAAATTGTCAAATTTGAGCTTGACTAATAATTAGCACATATCAGAGTATTTTTTGAGAATTACTAAAACAAAAGCCAATTAAAAAGTTGTAAACTGCGTATTTTAAAATCAGTAGTTCCTCAGCTTCCCTGCCAGAAATGAGCCGTTTCTGCTCTCATTAGGTCCATTCTTCCTTTTGTCAGTTTATCAGCCTCTCTCCGTCTTGGTGCCTGGATTTCTGTCTGCCCAGAGTTTCTGTCTGTGGCCCGGTCCTGTGGGATTGTCACAAAGTGCTGATCACACACACGACAAGCCGGGCTTCCTGCTTGCCCAGCATCCCTGGGCTTCCAGGGCCTTAAGAATCCCTTCGCCAGGCTTCCTCGCGCTCCAGTCCGCGTCTGTCTTCTCTTCTTTCCTCCCGTTTGGCTGCGTTGAGCCTGTGGTGCTTTACCGCTCTGTTCCCCAACAATCTGTGAATCAAAACTGCTGACTTTTGGCTTGTGCAGGAATCACAGAGCTTCTGGTTACAAGGTTTACCAGATTGTGCACAGCTACAAATCCAACTCTACCTTCCCTGTCGCCAGCTATACTGAATGAGCTCATATAAGCGACAAAAACGTCGTCTTGCTGTGATTTAAATGCGTCAACATTTCCTCCTGCCTGTCTTTCCTGCAACTGGCTCTAAGGGCAACGAAACAGGCTCAACTTACTGATTTATTTTTCTCAACTCATTTGCAAAACTGGAAAGTGTTTTTGGCTTGTTTTTTGCTCCTTCTGTGCCTGTTTTTGATGAATGCCACAGAAAAATATTGATCATGTTTTCCCCTCCTAATGTTCATCACACTCTCTAAAGAGAGCAAATGAAAAATGAAAGCTCTGCCCCTACACACACCTAATGCAAAAAGCTAAAATTAGACGTTGTCTCATGGTACAACTCCTCATCTGAACAGAAAAAAAGTTCCTTTTAAAAGTGTTTGTTTCCCAGGAGATGTTCCACACGTCTAATGCTTAAAACATGCAGAAGTTACCAAATTTACATAACTATGCCATCACAGCTGACTGGAAATGTATTTCTGTCAATCGTAACCGAGATGGAAACTAGGCAGGAACCTTGTGACGTGTGATTTATTAACTTTTCCACACAGATTGACACTTTGTGTGAAAAGCTGATGTAGTTTTGCTCTAGGCTGATTTCTAAGATCACATGTCACATTTCAGTGGGAAAAAGAAACATTTCTGCTTCTGTCAGGTTCATGTTGGCTCTATGTCCGAACTTTACATGAACTCATCATGGACATGAGCATCACATTCACTTTGACTTTTCACTGTTGCAATTCAATCAATCCTTTTTTCCGGGTGCATTATTATTATTATTATTAATCAATATAAACTCCAGGGATTTTTAAAGCTAATAATTTGATGCACAAGTTTGAAGAAAAATAAATATTTGTCAAATATTCCAAAATTTGTCAGTAGTAACACACAATCAGTGATTTTCATTGTACACAAAAATCACAGATTTTGTAAAAAGTCAGTGATCCAGGCAGAATTATGTTAAATGATTAAACATTTATTTCGCTGCAATTGGAGACATTGAATGAAAGCATGTAAGCATTTGATCCTTTGTCCATCATTTTGCACTTGTGTGAATTATTTGAAATATTTCAAGTTAAATGTTTTGATCTTTCATTGTCAATGCAAACAAATACACAAACACATGCAACTGATTCTTTCTTTTAAAATTTATTAAAATTACATATTTTCAGCCCACAACAAAACAGAATGTATGACCAATGCTGTAAATATTAATAAACACCCAGAAGCAATTTATTCTAGTAAAAACCGATACTGTGGTAAACAGCTCAAATGATTCAACTGCATTTACTTTCAGGGGATTTTGTGTCATTGAGTTATTATTCATGCAACCGTGGCATTGATTGCATTTCCACTCACATCCTTTTTCACCACCTAATTAATCAAATCAGCGGTTTGCATATTTTAAGATTCCTCTGCTCTGCCTGCTCCCAGATTCTTCCTTTGGGTTTCATTATTTCTCTCCCGATTGTTTCAGTTGTGAGCTGATTCCATCCCACCTCCCTGTCATTCCCATCAGAACCTCCACCCTCATGACTTTTATTTTGGTCCCACCATTCCTTTAGGCCACCAACCTGGCTCCCTCCTCCACCAACAATGCCACCCTTTCCTTTGCCAGTCCTGACGTCTCCATACTAAACTACCAATCTGCACTCTACCAGCCCTCCGCCGCCTCCATGGCGGCTGTGGCCCAGAGGAGCATGCCGCTGCAGCCGGGGGCGCCGCAGCTCTGCGCCGCTCGGCCCGACCCCTTCCAGCAGGCGCTCATCGTCTGCCCGCCGGGATTCCAAGGTAACCACATTAACGTTAGCATGGCAAAACTTCAGAATATCACTGGAGATTATTTATTTCAGGTGTTCAAAAAGGAAACTCAAATATTATTGTCACATTTGAATCTTTCAGGGCAAAGAAAATCTGAGCAAAAATGAAAAAAAGCTGTTTTAAAATAATGGTTGTGTATATTAACCATCCTGGCTTCATGTGAAAATTTACTTACCTTATGAATTAAATGTAATCAACTATTTTAACGATTTAAACAGAAGAATGAAGACCTCAGAAAGCAACACATCTGAAGTTATTCAAGATTACTTAAGTACATCTGGGTCATGAAGCAGGACAAAGATTTTCAAATAGCCTAGTCAAATCCCGAACTTAAATCCAGCTGTGAATTGCCTTGAACAGGCCGTTAATGCTGAAAAATCCTCCAGTATAGATGAATTAAATCAGTTCATCATCCTAAAACTCCTCCTCAGCGACTTATTACCTGTTAAACGCTGCCAGAGCTCAACCAGAGGAAAGTTACTCTTTCAGTAATAAATGAAAGCATCATTTCAGAACTGTTTTATATTTATAGAAACATCTCAGTGTAACAAAAAAAGCAAATGAAAATTCAGAATTTTGTGAGTGTCTGCTGAGAGCAACGTCATTAACATCATCCACTAGTAGAATAAGCTGTGAAAGGCCATTAGGGTTTAGACTGGCAGTTCACAGAGTGCTGTAGACAAGATTAATGGGAAGTTCAGTGGAAGGAAAAACTGTCAAAAGAAAGCTTTTACAAGAAACAAGGATGACTTCAGTCAAGGTGCGAATATCTGATAAGAAAATGAATTATGCGTTTTAAGATAGTTACCAAAATGAACAGAAATAAATGCTTTAATTATCTCACTCTGTGTGATGAATATTTATGTGAGCTTAGCTTTTTGAAACAAAAAACCATTTTTTCAGTGATACTTTTATTTTCTCTTGATTCAACTACATGATTTCAGCACACAAAGCAGAAATGCATTAAGCATAAACTGAGTTATTTTAACTCTGATCTGATCTGAGCGCCTTTCATGCTATTTTTATGACGTTCTTGGCTTGTGTTTTATTCATGAGCAGGTTTGCAGGCATCCCCTTCCAAGCACACCAGTTACTCTGTCAGGATGGAGAACGCGGTTCCCATAGTGACGCAGGCTCCCGGTGCCCAACCTCTGCAGATCCAGCCTGGCCTCCTCACACAGGTAAGGGGCATATTCCCACATTTTAACTTTATTTATTTATTATTTAATTTTTAAACAGGAAAAGATGAAAAGAAATCTGGCCTGGCTCAGCATAATTACTGTTTTACAGCAGGTTCCTCTTGAAACACATAAATATGCAACATCACATCCCATTAATAAACACATAGAGACTTACCGATTTACAAAACAGTCGAATATTTACACTGAACAGTGACTGTAAAAAAAAAACACACATTGAAGAAATGGTGCATGATTCTTATTAAAAGTGCAAATGTTGAGATTGACTTTATATGTTTTGGAACAAACAGAAAATGATTTTTGGTCATAACAGTTTTTAAAGGCTGGTAGTGATGAGTGTCGTAGTCGATTGGGTTTATGCGTCAGAGCAGAAAACCTACATAATAACACAGTTTAATAACGCTGCACAAAACATAATTTCGAAAAGTTTAAGCATTTGAATAAGAAAAACTATGAAATGAGGCGTTATGAGTTTTTTAGGACTTATTGGGTTCCAAGATTTCATTAGATAAATAAACATTGTTAAAAAATACGAACTTATTATAAAAATTTTAATAATCTGTTGTACTGAGAGCTATTCAGGAATGGAATAAATCACATAAAAACAAGATTTTATAAAGGAGCACATGAATGTTATTTTTATTTAATCATATAGTAGTGTGTATAATGCCTGACTAAATTTATGATATTATATGTTGATGTTGAAATGATTTTATGTGTTGCATGAATATTATTTGGGTTTTATCAATTGGACCCCAGGAAGATCAGCTTTCTACTGTGGTGGAAACTAATGTTAATAAATAAACAAAAAAACAAAAGTATTATGGCATTAAGATAAGTGTTTGAAACAGAAGATGTTGAATATGATCCAATTTTGAAATAAACATAAATTTTCTGTGTCATCTTAGCAGATAAAGCTTGATAAGTTAGCTTCATGACATTCAGTTGCGTTCAGTCGTTGGGTTCCTTTTTTCCCACAATCTCTCAGTGGTATCTGTGGTTGGGGGAGGAAAACGCGGCCCCTGCCGGCAGCTGCTGCTTCCTGAATGCGATCAGGCCATCGGCCCCTCTGCTCTCACTCCTCACTCTGGAAAGGTCCTGAAGTTTCAGCTGCTCCCGCTGCAGAAACACTGCCGGTGTCTTCCATCGCCGCTCCACGTCTTTCTCCCTATGGAAATTTCCATGCAGGCTTTAAATATCCCTGAGAATTCTGGGAGTTTAAATCGTTCCCTTATCTCTAGTTAATCATCCAGTAGGCAGGCATGCGAGGAGCAGAGCTGCGTGCGCTCGCCTGTGCACGTGCGTGTTTTTCTACGGTGAGCTAATCTGTCAGATACCAAATGGTGATTAGCTCCATGGCTGCTTCCAAGTCAGGCGCTCCAAATTACAGGCCTCCCAGGACCTCCAGAGGTCAGGGAGAAGCTGGGGTGAGGCAGCAAAAAGTCAGCAACGCTTTCAGCAACCAGTCCTATGACGGGCTGATAGGGCCTCACTAAGAGAATAAAATAATAAAATTACAAGAATAAAGTTGATAAAATAACAAAAAAGTCATATTATGAGAATAAAGTCTTGCTATGACTTTATTCTCAAACTATTATGACTTTCTTCCCGTAGTATCGTAACTATTCACATAATACTATGATTTTATTCTCACATGGCTTTATTCTTGTATTATTGCAACGTTTTTCCGTACAAGTTTATTCTCATAATTCTACGGCTTTATTCTTGTAAGTATACATTTTTAAATTTTTTGTACTGTGGCCCTGATATTCTGTTGTCAGATCCAACCAAATAATGACTAAAATTGAGAAAAAAACAGTCTAATGTTGCAGTGATGTTGTTCCTCCGTGCCCTGCAGGTGTTCCTTGTCACCTCTGTCTGCACACATGTTAAACAAAGACAGGCAGTAGTTAACTGAAGCAGATGGCTTTTACAGGCCAGTGAGCAGAACACCTAATAACTGGGTATGTGGTGAGTGTGTTTATTCCTCTGCAGTGGGAGGTCTGAGCTCGCCTCTTGCTTGTTTACTGTTACCCACGGACTCTTTGCCCACCTTGAGCCAAGCCAAGGTTGGTCTCAAGCACCTGGCTGTGCAGAAACGGAGAGAGAGGGTGCAGCGAAGGTCGGGGGGTGAGCGGCTCTGAGCCGGGAGGCAGGGAAACCAGCGGGACCTTTATCTGGAGCAGGAATGCAGAAAATGTGGAAACAATTGGGGAGTGAGAGCTGGGGCTTTGAAAGGCCTGAGGTGACAAAGGGTTTCTCCCAGGCAGCCCGGGTCGCGGTGGGAGGCGGTGGGCCGCTGATGGTGATGGTGATGGTGGGCTCTGAGGAGAAAGAAAACAACCTCTTAACTGGGTTACCATTTCAGGGCAGACGAGCCAGTTACACAACGCAGACAGCGCGTGAGAAAGGCATGCAGAGTGGCAGGAATGGAGATAGAGCGAGCAGGAGACGGGCTGGACGTATTACAGTCTGTTAATGGGCCGCTGATAAAAGGGCCTGGATGTGGTCGGGATGTAAAGAACATCTCCAGAATGTTCCATTAGAGATATCAGTCATTATGGTTGAGACAAAGCAGCCATGTTGCACCAACTCCACCCCCAACCTTCAGCTCTGTGCAACCTGCCTCACACACAAAAACAAATCAATCACATGCAAACATTACAGTACAGAAACACGGCCTGACAGAAGTGTTTTACCTCCTTACAGGGTTCGTCTGTTTCAGATTCTTCTTTTTTGTTATGATCAAATATTTCATATCATCAAAATCAAACAATGAGAATCAGAACCTCTAAATCTGAGACATTGGTCAGATTGAGGTTCTGCTCCAAATGGAAGAGTTAAAGGGTCCAATCACACTGGCGGATTGTCTTCTCTGCCTGGAAACCCAATCTGCCTATCCATTAGAAATAGATAAAAGCAATATCACCCAACAAGTCAGACAAAAGATAACCTGAGTAAATATAAACTGATGTCTACTCCAAGCTGTCAGTTAATGAAATATAGTAGAGTAGACATCTGGTTGTGCAGCGCTTAGCACCAACAGCTAACACCACGGATTCTGATAACTTGACATTCTCGTGGAGAGATATTTGTAGTTTTTGAGTTGTTCCATGTTGGACTTGCAGTCTTAAACTGATAGCTGAACTTTCTCCTTCAAGACTTTCTTGTAATTGAAAAGAACATGTGAGTCCTTCAGAATTAATCCTCTTCAAGGCCCAGACCATCACTCTGCCACTGTGACGGCTGTGCTTTGTTTTTCAAAGCCATTTTTCTTCTTTTTGCCAACTTCTTGGCATCCAACTGCTGCTTTTTTATTAGTTTTTTGAGATGAGAAATTGAACCAAAAAAGTGGGTAATCCTGGTTAATAAGTGATTTTACAAGGTGTTAGTTGGCTTGGATGGATGTTTTTCCCTAAATGAATGAAATCATCAATCTGTGTTTACTTAGGTTGTCTTAAAGTGAAAGTAGTTGATCTGAAGCATGTAGCTGTGACTACAAAGCAGAACAAGTGCTGAAGACATTTCTGCAACACATACTGATGGTGTTGTAAATAGATGCATAAACGGTATTAAAGGAACAATTCATTAGCCCTGACATTAAAGTGCTAATCAATAGAGCTGCATTAAACCGCTAGGGCTACACACACACACACACACACACACACACACACACACACACACACACGCGTGTTCAGACACACATGGCACATCTGCAGGCAGATTACGCCTGCTAGGTCTCTGCTTCTGCATAAGAAATTCAAAGAAGGCTCTTTCAGAGCAACCTGAAGAGAGGTAGGAATCTAATTAGAGCGCTGGTTGATTTGACACACATCACACACATAATCACAGGCAAGCATCACACACTCAGCTGCTCATGTTCGCACGCACGCACACACACACACACACACACTCAAAAAGGGATCTGAGGTATCTTTATTAGGTCCGGCCCTGCGCTCTCCTTTGACGGATGTTTCCCTCAAATTGACAAACTTCATCAGATATTTGCCCTCTAGCTACTCTAGTTGGAGTTTAATGTTACCACTTTTTGAAAAGAAACCACCATTTTCTCATGCTACATTATTGAGAATATTTCAGCTGACCAACATAAAACATAAAAATGGTCAGATTTTTGCTCCTGCCTGTTGATGTTCAGGCGACACTTCACATAATTTTAGATTTCCTTCTTTTGGATTGGAGGAGAACATCTGTGAACTTAAGTTTTCAGGTTTTGTCCCAGATTCTTTATTGTATTAATGTCAGGACTTTGACTAGGCCATTCTAGGATGGAAGCCATCCCATATCATCTCTGGCTTTATATTTAGGATCATGGTCCAGCAGCCTCTAGCAGGTTTTCCTCTCGGATTGATCTGGATTTACCTCCATCCCTCTTTCCATCACCTCTGACAAACAGTTTGTTTCTAGCAGTGGAATAATTATTCAAACCTATGTGTAAAATAAATACTTTGTGTGTATTTGTATCAAATGCCCAGTAATAAGACATGTTTAATGCTAGGATTAGTTTACTGTAAAACATTATGCATTGCTATGTGTTAGCATTACTTCAAATGCCAGTAAAATACATTGGAATGTTTTAGTTAAAGGCTCTCTCTCTCTGCACTTTGTATATAACCTGGCCAGTTTTCAGTTTTCTGTCTCCTTGTTGTGACCTTAAAATCGTTGGCCTGACCCGGGTTCTGTCTCTGCAGCAGGCCTGGCCCAGCGGCACCCAGCAGATCCTGCTGCCTCCAGCGTGGCAGCAGCTCACCCACACCTCCGTCCAGCACGCCGCCGTCATCCCAGACTCCATGGGCAGCACACAGACTCTCGCCAACTGGAGGTAAACACTTCAGTAGTTTCTACATGGTCCATGCAGGTGATTGAAAATACTTGAATTTCAATGAGGTGTTCTCAAGGTTTGGAAAGTTCTTGATATCCATCTAAATTCCTTGAACATTCTTGATTTTCAAACTGCAGTGTTTTATAATAAACTGACATTTAATTTAAAAACTAATTTTGCAAACGTTATTTACAGTTGCATCGACTTTTTTGGGGGCAAAATGAATGTACGTAACTGAAAATAGACACCAACATCGGTAGCCTACAAGGTACTTGTTAAGCTTAAGGTTCTGTATTGATCATCTTTTCATCTTCTAGTCATCTTTTAGCTAACATTACCTGCATCCAACAGCTTTACTCAACTCAGTCGTTGGAGGGAAAAACTGTGAAAGGTTCTTTGCGTTTTGCTGGTTTGCTGCCGTGATTCTAACACAAACCTACGTAGCGCCGCACGCAGCAGCAGGTCTCCTTCACAGGTGGAAACCCAGCGCGAGCGTAGCGCTCATGTTGCGTTTAAAGGCGACTCGGAAAAACAGGTTACAACATGTTAACAACGGATTAAACCATTTTAACTGCTGATAAAAGTGACAGAGGACACAAATATGGGAAGTGTGGAAGCCTCTACTGTATCAAACTGACATAGGAATAACAGAGTTGGCCATTCTAAGGTAAAAACCCAGCGCATACAGTGTTCATGTTTTGTTTTTTTCATCCAGACGGCTTCCCGCGCACTCCCCCCCCCCTGCAATGACACGACGCCCCCCTTAGGGGGCGCACCCCACAGTTTGGGAACCTCTGCATTAAACAATGTTTTTTAAATTGGGGACTTTTTTGTTGAATTTGTGTTTTGTGTGCAGGTTATGTGAGAAGCAGACTTGAAATCATAAAATGTTGCTGTATTTCAGTTTACTTTGTCTCTGCTGCAGAATGTAGAATACTACCACAAGACATTATTAATAATCTTAATGAATGATATAATATGTGAATTGAAACTGTCTTTCTTTAGTTCATTTGTGTTGTTTTTATTTCCAAACTGATGCATTAACTCAGGAATCTTTGCTTCTTTAGTAACTTTATCTTCAGATGAGATCATGTGCTGGAACACCAGCAGGTTGACCTCAGAGAAATGGAGGATATGCTGTATCTACAGGCAGAGTGCAGCCTGTCACTGAAGTTAATTGATGAATGGGAGGCTAGATGGAAGCGGGACAAAGGGACATATATGTACAGATATATAATGTGCAGGCATGGGAGGTTGTCAGGGCGATTAGATCCGTTCAGGGCTGCCCGTCTGTGGGAAGTCAGCCCCCGCCCTGCCACTCCTTCACCTCCTGTCCAGTCGCAGCTCTGTAGTCCTCAGAGAGAAGATCGGGAAAGTGTCGCACTTCCTCTGCAGAGCTATCGCTCCACAGCTGCTGGTGTCAGCTCCTCTGCCCTCCCTCTCTGCTCTCCTCTCGTTTTTTAGCCTCTCCAGAAAAGAGAGCCGCTGCCACCTACTGGCTTCACTGTGAAATACTGTGTTCCTGCCAGTGTTTACTGATTTATATCTTTTTTTTTTTCAGATCTATCTGATACTTTTTCTGCAGATTCTTGACATGCATCTGAATAAAATAAAATATAATTGAAAAAATAAATATATTTTATCAGTTCAGTTACAAATTTTTAACTCGTATAGATTTCATATGGTAATTTTAACAATTATGGTTTGCAGTTTAAGAAAACCAAAAGATTACATCCAATAAAAAATCAGAAATAAATAAAACAAGGCCACAGACAATCATTCATAAAAAGAAGTGTGTTAATGGAAGGATTAGTGGAAGGAAAAAGTGTGGTAGTCACAGATGTATCCATGACATGAGCTGCAACTGTGAGCTCATCTTGTAAACAAGGCCTCAACATAGCTAATGAGTTAGCTAATGAGTTAGCTAACGCTACCGCCAACAACACACAACAGCAAATCTTTCTTCTTAGCTCTTAATGGTCATTAACCAGAACTTCAATCAAACTTTACTCAAGTGGAAGCTTACAATACAGTCAAGTAAATGTGCTTTAGAATGAATTTATCCAGAAAAGTTTATTTAGGGGAAGCCACATGTTAGCACAACGCGCTAAGCTAAAGTGTAGCTCCACTGTTTGTGCATTTGCAGATTAGCAAAAGTGTATCTATCACTAATGATGTGGAATTAATGTATGTATGTTTGTTTCGCTTTTTCAAATGAAACAACTTTCAAATAGTATTCTAGTTGATTGAGATGAATGTGCATCATTTGTGTCATTCTGCAGGAATTCCCATCCTCATGGGAGCCATTATAATCCCATCATGCAGCAGCCAGCCTTGCTGACTGGTCATGTCACGCTCCCATCAAACCAGACTCTCAATGTGGGCGTGGCTCATGTCATGAGGCAGTCATCCACCAATAACAACTCCTCTTCCAAAAAGACCAAACAGCACCAGATGTCGACCAGGTATGCAAACTACTGATGAAGTCTTTTTAAATGAATTTATAGGGCTAAAGTATGATGTAATATCAATTTTTTTAGCTTTACATCCTGTTATGATGTTATTCCCTCATTAAAAACATACCTGGATTTTTGCCTTGATGTTTTCATGCATGTTTGAGGAATCCTTTAATCTCCATGGCAACCATTCAGCTGTGCATAAAGCCTGGCTGGACCTACCCCCACCTTCGAGACATAGCTCCTCCTCACAGCTGCAGTTTCCAAACTATGAGCTTCTGCCTCACGGAGGCCCCTCGAACTACCCCACACTGCTCCTTCAGACTAGCCAGCAGCAATTAGCAAACACCTGGTAGAAACGGGGCATCTGCTGAGCTCATCAGAGGAGCTACTTCTCAGATCAATGCTGGTAGTTGAATAGAGGAGTCATGTTGTGATGACTTCCTAAAGGCGGAGTTTCAGAAAGAGCAGAAGTTTTTAAAGAGACAGAGACCCAATTTCAAGGTTTTAAATTATGAAATATAATTTCTTTTAAGTCATTTTTGTTATATACAGGATTTTTAAAACAACTGACGATAACACTGTTACTTGAATGTTCTATAAAATGGCACTAAGTACATAGTGCTGCCCCTTTAATGCTCCTGAATCTTCAGCATCAGTGGCCTGATCTCTCGCCTCCACCTCTGTTTTTCCAAGGAACGTGTCGACCTACGAGGTGTCGTCCTCCCAGATGGTGCTGTCGCCGCAGCGATCCAAGCGGGTGAAGGAGAACACGCCCCCCCGCTGCGCCGTGCTACAGAACGGGTCGGCATCCCACTGCCCACCGGCGCAGGGCTGCGCTGGAGGAGGGTGGGGCGCCAACGAAGCAGAGCAGGCTTCCAGCACCACCCGCGAACATCAGCACCAGCACCATGTCCCCAGACAGACCATCATCATCCCCGACACGCCCAGCCCCGCCGTCAGCATCATTACCATCAGCAGCGACTCAGAGGACGACGACCAGAAGCAGAACAACGGGTCGGTTCGGGTTTTTTCTTCAGCAGGAAACTGCAACATAATTAAGAAAACCGATTGGATTTTAGGTTTAAATTATTATTTTGGTTTTTTTTACAAATTTTTGTTGGACATTAAATTGCCTCGGTAAATATTGTGATAAACAATAATGTTATTGTTTTGAAACCATTTTCAAGTAATATGTTGATTATGGCCCTCTTAAACACAAATAAACTTTAATTTAGTAAAGAACCCATAACACTGGAATTAGGAGATGTTTAAAATATCCAAAATAAGATGCAACAAATAAAAACAACAATTATAACAGAAATAAAAACCACACAAGGAGAACCATAAATAAAATGGATTGTATTGTGATGTGTCATAAACTAAAATTAGCCAAAATAATTCAAAGTTCATAGCGACTCAGAGCAATATGAAAGGTCGCCTGCTCTCTTTCTTTCCTATTTTAAAGAGTGGGAACAAATTGAGAATTGAAATATGTTAAACATTCCTCCTAACTCTTTGTCTGTTTTCTGCAGCTCATCTTCCAAGCACAGAAAGAACGTCATCAGCTGTGTGACGGTCCATGATTCCCCAGAGTCAGACTGCTCCAGCCACAACAGCCCCTACAGCCTGGAGTCAAGACCCCACAACCATAACAACAACAACAGCTACGACACGAAAACCACCATCCTGGACAACTACAACAATGGGAACCCTCGCACAATCATCATCCCTCCGCTCAAGACACAGAACAGTGAAGTGCCCAGCGAATGTGAGCGGCTGATGCCAGGTAAACGCCGCTTTAATAATTCAGATAAAGGTAAAAGTTGCTGCTTTGCAGGTGAACAGATTTATTTATTTTTCTACTGAACAGATGGACTGAATCATCAGAATATAGCTTACAAGTTTAAATCCTCCAATGGAGTGACATTGGGCAATAATCACATACCAGGGGGCGTGGCCTATCGACAGCAGCGCTCAGGACCACACCCGCTTCAGCAGCAGCCACTCAATCTCAGCCAGGTACAGTACGCAGCAAACAATCAATGTAACTGATCAATACGATGTTGTTTTGATTATGCTCCGTCATGGCAATATTTGCATGGCACTTATTATGCAAAATTCACACTTTGCTCATTTTTGGGCTTCTATTTTGGTTTCTACAGCTTCTGAAAGCAGCCCAAACACTTAAAAAAATACAAATAAAAATAATTAATCACTAACAGTTTTGGCAATAAGGTCACGTTTTTTTGTGTTTGGAAAATGAGCCATTTCAAAAACTTTCCGAATGTAACGTCACAAATCAGCAGATGCTACCCGTCACCTAGCAACCAAAGCAGAGCTCCAGAACATTTGGTCAGTTAGTTTTATCATTGTCAATTATTCTAACTATCAATCAGAGAGAAAAAAATTCCACATTCTACAGATTTTTCATTTCTAATATTTTATACAAAATTAGAAATGCATTAACAATGCAAATAAACAAATAATACAGTTAAAAAATACACATAATAAACTTTTTATTGCCTAAAATTAAATAATTAAATATACATTCCTTTAGTGAACGTTTGATTATTTGTAGCAAAGGATGCATCCAGAGATAAAAAAAAATACTTCTACCTTCAACATGTGAAATGTTCAGGGCTTTTTGCCTGTCTTAACACCAATATAACTGCGCGTTACCTAGCAACCCAAGCAGAGCTCCAGCTTGTTTGGTCAGCTCATTTTACTGCTGTATGCACTGTACAATGGCTGCTGGAAAAGACAAGTATTTTGTTGTTTACTTACCATCCAGAAACTACATGCTGCAGCCATGTTTTTGTTTTTATTTTTTGTGCAGGAGGCTCCACTTCTGCTTTTCAAAGATCTGTGTTTGTAAAGCTGTGCATCTGTTTGCAGCTATTTTCCTGTGCGAGTGTAAATGTTGTTATGAGGCGTGGCCAGCAGCAGCTTATTTGCATTTGGAGGGACAGAGACCCTAAAGCAGCTCGTACAGGAGCTCAGAAATGATCAGACTAAACTCTCATTATCTAAGAATGATTTTGTGTGAAACATGTAATGAGCATGTTTTGTATAGACCATAGCTCTATCCTAACCTGTTGAAGGAACTCTGTGGGTTTGTCTGTTCTTTCAGGCTCAGCAGCACATGGTGGCCGAGCGAAACGCAGGACACCGCCGGCAGCAGGCCTACATCACCCCCAACATCGCAGCTCAAGCCCCGTATTCCTTCCATCACAACAGCCCCTCCCACACGGGCGGCGTCCATCCACACCTGGCCGCCACCCACCTGCCCAGCCAGCCCCACCTGTACACCTACACGGCCCCCGCCGCCCTGGGCTCCACCGGCACCGTGGCCCACCTGGTGGCGTCGCAGGGCTCGGCGCGCCACGCCGTCCAGCACGGGAGCTACCCCCCCAGCATCGTCCACCAGGTCCCAGTCAGCGTGAGCCACCGCGTCCTGCCGTCGCCCACAATGCACCACAGCCAGTACCAGGCCCAGTTCGCCCACCAGGCCTACATCAGCACCTCACCCGCCTCCACTGTCTACACTGGATACCCACTGAGCCCCACCAAGGTCAACCAGTATCCTTACCTCTAGAGACGAGCCGGACTGACACTGAAGGGGCCCGACCCCCGACCCAGCGATGCTGCTTCCTGCACTGCAAAAACACAAAACCTCACCACGTATTTTTAGTCTAGTTTCTGATGCAAATATACAGCTCCCTTGAAATAATACAAAACTTACAAGTAACTTTTCAGCAAGAAATAGGAGCTTGTTCAATAATTAATTAATATTATTGATGTGAGATTACTGGTAGATAGAGTGTCCAAGTACTCAAGTAAGAGTAGCACCACTTCAACAAATTTTTATTCAAGTAAAAGTAAAAAGTAGCTGTCCAAGAAATTACTCAAGTAAGAGTAAAAAAGTATTTGGAAAGCTACATCAGTCATTTAATATTTCAAAATTACAACATCAGACCACTAAGGTTATGTGGAATTGTAGGTATTTTAAAGACCAAAATGAAAATAATTCATATAACTAATTATTAAAAAGTAACAAAAACAGGAAAAAGAAATATTTTTTCTAAATCAGTTCCTTTCAGCACATAACTTAACAAAAATTGCCAATATTTGTCTGGTGAATTATTAGTTGTTATTCATTCAGTGAAGTTAATCACACTGGGTATCCAGAAATTTTACTCAAATAAGAGTAAAATTTACAAAAAGTAAATATTTTTGTAAGTAAGCTCTGGTTAATATTGATGAAAATGAAGATATAATTCAAATAATCTGCCAGGGGAACAAGACACTTTCCCTGTATTATAAATTACAATATGAGAAAAGTATTTTTTCCACTGTCAGATAATTACATATAACTAGTACTTTTTAAATAAAATTAAGAAATTAAGCTCCCATATCTTGCTGAAAAGTTACATTTAAGTTAGTTTTGCCGTATTTCAGGTCTACTAAGATATCTGCACCAATAAGTGGATCAAAAGTCTTGGTGAGATTTTGTGTTTTTGCAGTGTTCATCCTCCATCCCATCCTCTCCTCGACCTCAGACATGAACAGAGACAGAGGAACATGCAACCCTCATGAAGCTGTCATGTGTAACTTGAAGAAGGAATGACTGAACAGAAGGAAACATGACTCAGATCCTCTGGAGAAGAGAAAAAAGATGGCGACTGTTTTTCTTCTTTTGACCATTTTCCCCCCAGAAAAGGGCCAGTTCCGCTTTTGTTTCCCTTCCCTTTGCTTTCCTTTACGAAAGAAGCAACGTCTCGTTAGTTTTTTGGGGGAAGTTTTGAGGACAGCGGATGTTTTAGGATTTATTTCATTTGTTTCCCCGCTCTCCTCTCCCGTCCCCCGCCTAAATATGTTTGGGACTGTTGAATAGGTGGGCAATATTGACTGGAAGTTTGAATTCCCAAAAGCTTTGGGACTTGGTGAAATACGGAAACCTGCTGCTCTTCAAAGATAAAAAAAATACTGATGGCCTTGAACTGTCTTAGTATTTCCAAATCAGCGGAGGCGTGGGGTGAAAACGAAGAGAGGAAACTCCGCCCACTCCGCCTCCTCCAGCAGAGGAGGGAACTGGAAATCTAACCAACAGAAGACAACAAATCTTTTAGTGTATTTATAGATATTTTTCCTTTGTTTTTTCCACCTTCAGTTTGGTCTAGGTGTCTTAGCTGGGCCCCGTGTATAGAATGTAGCAGTATGCACCTGTTTTTATTTCTTTTTTAATTCCCTTGATACCAATAGAGTTATTTCTTATTTTTTCTTCTTCAATGTGATTGCACAAAGTGGTTATAATAACATAGGCATGTACAACGTGATTGTCTGTGTGCTACTGTCAGCCATGCGTGTGTAGCTCATCTCCACAGGATCCTCCTCAAGTCTTTAGATGTCGATCGTCGTTCCCTCGTAGTGCCTTACAGATTTACCGACACAGTTTACTCGGCTCGGGTCCCGAAAGCCGCGAGAGACTACGGCTAAACTTAGCGAGACGCGTTTTCCCCGGTTTCACATCTTAATCGGGACACTTGTAGGTTTCTTCCAGGTGTAGGCTCAGCCCTCGCTGTTTCACAACCACAGCGTCCCGCAGATGATGAAGATTAATGTCAAAGCAGAAATCACGCTGAGCTGATTTTTTTGTTGTTATTGTTGTGTGTGCATGAGATAATTTGCCTGGGGTACTTACCAAAGTCAGAGATAAAGTCATGTTACACTTCGCTCTGGAAATTCATGTAAATATAAAAAGATAGATGTAGAGTGAAGCTGTAGCTGTTTTCCTCGTTTTCTGCTAATCACACGAGAAAACGTGCGTCACGATTCGGAGGCACAGACGTCAGCTCAGTTGTTTTGAGGTTACAGGATACAGTTTGAGACACAACAGAGTTTTTGGTGCATCTCAGTGAATTAGATTATGACAAAATGTTCAAAAAAAACCTAAAGAAAATTTGTATATTTCAGTAATTTCTTTTTGTTAATTATGATTATGGCTTGCAGCAAATGAAACCCAAAATTGAATCTTTAATAAAACTAGAAAGTACAAAAAAATCCGACTTTTAAGAAAGAAATTTTTTACATAATCATGGAGAAAACTGCTTTGAATATTCACTACAAAGAGGGTAAAATATAACGCTGAAATTTAGCTGTTTCAAGCTTATTCATGGAAAATTCAGTGGAAGGAAAATCTAGCACAGTCGTACAACAGTCATTAAACAGATATTTGTAGTGTAGTCATGAACACGTCCTGTCAGAAAATTAAACTAACCTATAAAAAGCTAAAATGTGTATTATATCTTCCTCCAGACTCTGTGTTGTTGATTTTCAAATAAATCTCAAATTTACTTTAAAAAAATAGTCTGAAAAGATTATGTTTTTAACCAGTCTTTTTCCTTCCACTCAACTTTCCACCAATATTCTTATTGGCTGACTGTGTCAATGAGTCAGCCATCTTTCCTTTGATTTTGTCATAATCATTACATTTAACAGAAATAAATCACTCTTTTCTTCAACAAATGCTAATTTCTTGAGATGCACCTGTATTTTTCAAGGTTAAGAGCTAGTCTGAGAGAAGGGCCTGACAGAAAGTGATTGTTGCCATGAGGTAGTTCAACAGACAGAGCACAGAGGGATGTTTGGAAGAGAAACCGAACGGGGTGAAGGAAAGGGGCTGGTTGGAAGCGTAGGGTCCGTTCAGGAACGGGGGGAACTCTCCATCTTAAAAGGGACTTAAAATGGTTGCAAGTTGGCAATGAGCAGGTTGATAGTTACACTGAGCCGCGGCGGGCGCTGCCTCACCTGGCGGTGGCGGCGCTCCTAAGTATCTGACATATTGTTTGTGAGCTCTGATGATGCGAGCGCAGCGTTAGCAGCGGCGCTGCAGGGAGAGCGGACGGGAAACGGGACGCGCATGCACCTGGAAGGGGCGCCTTATGGATGTTTTCGTCACTGCTGTCCATTTGTCTTCGATCCCGGTACACCACGGATATCGCCATGCCGACGGGGCGGGGATGCCTGAGCACTTAGAGAACCAATAGGGCTGCCGCTTTGTGTGTTTGCTGCTTGATTTTATTTAGCCAATAGTACAAATAACCATTTGCCCTATTGAATGAACATGGGCACATCAGAACTGCTGGTGGTCTAGTCAAAGCCTTCTGCCCTCCTCCTTGGTATGCCATAGTACTTGCATTTGAAGTGATTTTTTTTTCTCTCTTTTTAACTTATCTTCATTTTCTTTTACATGGCTGTAGTACTTGTGTTTATTTTTTAGAGATTGTTGCAATAATTCTTGTGGACGTTTTATCAAAATGCGTGTGCGTGTTTTTATGATATTTCGGGCTTATTTGGGTTTTGTAACCTGGTGTACAGTGATGTTTCGTACTGGGTGAAGGTGGGTGCCCCTGTGTAAAGTGTTGCAACACTGCTGAGGGTGGGCAGGCTGATGGTAATCCACTGGGGTGCTTTCAGAAACCTGCTTTTGGGTAATCCAGCCGCCCTCTGGAGTCGGCTTTCATCCTGGTACTTTCCGCTCCCCGTTAACGCCTCGGGTCCAGGTACTTGAAGATGTGATTACATGGTATGTCGCTGGTTACATCAGGCGTCTCTGTTCTGTTGTTTTCTGTTTCAGCTCCTTCGTTTCCTCTGGGTTGTTCAGGTCTGAGCACACGTGCATAACATGGAGGATTTCTGAATCAAACTACTGAAACATTCCACTGTTTTTGAGGGAATTTCACAACTACTGTCCACACCCGTCAGCATGAAGGCACCAAAGACTTTAACGAGATCGACCATGCACAGCACAGAACAAGCAATCCTCCTCGTTGTTGCCAGAATATCCAGGCAATAACTTCAAACGCTTCATAAAGTGTGGATTTCACTCTATGAAACCCATGTGTGTGAGGATTTAACATGCATACAGCACAGGTGTTTCTTTGTGGACTTTTAGCTACGACGCCATGATAAAGCAATTACCCCCTTGCAGATATCTTCTTTTTTCTCCGCACACTAAAATATTTTAAAAGATAACATGAACAGCTTTAAAGCTGTCCCAACCAACATGGCCGCCTTGTTAAATCATGAATTAACTGTCATAATTTTTTTGGCTCATTTCACTATCCACCTCATTGTGTAATTATTGCCAGAACAAGAAATAATTTTAATAGAATCCAACTGACAGAAGTAGGGAAAATATGTCAAAATGGTCTCTAAGGGAAAGTTCAAGGTTAAAACCATGAAGGCCTATCTTATTTTAAAAAACTAAACCAAAAAAAAGTATGTTTGCTCTACTTCTAGTGCAAATATCTTAGTCCACTTGAAATAACACAAAATGGAAGCAGATTGTTCCACTTATGGGAAAAATTTCTCATTAGTGAGACAATCTGCCAATGAAACTTGTACTTTTTCATCAATATTAAGGAATTATTAACTTAAAACAAGCTCCTATATCTTGGTGAAAAATTCTTTGCAATTTTGTTTTGTCTTATATCCAGTGTACTGAGATAATTGCAGTAGAAACTAGACAGAAATTACTTTGTTAAGATCTTTTGTTTTTGCAGCGTGGAACCATGAATTCTGTTTTCTAGCAGAAAACCATTTTTGTTAGCCCAGTTTAACTAGATTTATAAAGTGGGACGATGATCCAAAACAGCCAATCAACCTGTGATTGGCTGGAGTGGCCTGGCCAAAGTCCAAACTTAAGTCCAACTGAGATGCTGTGGCAGGTCGGTTTCCCACATGACGACTGTTTAAGAGAGACTTCAGTGCGTAGGAAGTGGGAGGGGCTAACGGTCGAAAGTCGGTAAGAAAGTCGCTAGATTTTATGCTAGTTGCGTTTTGAACAAAAGTTGCTGGAGGCGTCTGAAAAGTCGTTAAATGTAGCGACAAAGTTAATAAGTTAGCAACAGAGCTTCTGTCGAGACCACACCCCTCCACTCATACCCACATTTGGCCACGCCCCCCAGCGTGACTTAGCTCCGCCCACTTTGGTGGAATTTTTCCAAAATTGTCAGAGGTGAGGGCTAAGCTTTCACAGGGGAGTTAGTTACATTTAAACTGAATTTTCATGCACAGATGCCCTCCAATTAACATAACATCAAATAATTAAATTTTCCCTTAATAAATGATGTTTCAAATCATCTTTTGAAAACTTCTGTTTGCATTTACTCAGGTTTTCTTTGATAATAAGATATTTCTGATAATCTGAAACATTAAAAAACAGAAACAGAATAAAAGGGGTAAATACTTTCTCACAGCGCCGTATCAAAACATCTTTTTTCTATTTTTATTTTGAATTCTTCCACACTTTTTACCTGTTAAAATGAAACCAGAAATGAATGATCATGCCTTTTCTCTCCTGATTGTTGTTTTCTGTTTTTAATGTGTTAGCTTTATTGTTGTTGTAGGAAAGCTAATTTTAAAAGGTTTAAGAGTTGACCTGCAAAAATGAATAACCCAAATTGTATGAAGTATACCTTTAAAGATCATGGTCACCTGCACAAAACGAATGTAACATTATGTGACCCAACCACATCTGTCATGGCTTTTGATCTCTCGGTGGGTGATTATTTTATTGATTTGTGACCCATGCATGGCACAATGACTATACAACTGGTTTCCATCAAAACCCCACTAAAAACCAACAATGTAATGTTGCCTATTATCATAATTAGGAGATATAAATGCTCTTATTTTTGCAAAATGAAACAACACTGTGGAAGTTGATTTGTATGATATGTTTGTCTGTTTCTGTTTCACATAACCAACATTTTATGGATTACTGAGGAAAAAGAGGGTCAGAAAAGTGAGCATCATCGTAGATAGAGTGACCTTAAAATTACCAAAATGTGCTTAAGTAGCGTTTAAAAATGTTCGGTGTTGCTGAGGTGTGTACAGCCTTCCCAGATAGCAACGTTAATGTTAACTACTGCCTTCCAAATAACCAACGATACCTCCAAAGCTTTAAAAGGTGACATTTTAATTAGTGGAAACTGAAACAAGGCAGCGTGTCCATCTCTCTGTCGTCCTCCTGTCGAAAAGCGCTCAAACTTCCAGTCCTGCTTACGGTGTTGCTCATCCCGACAAACATTCCCGACAGTGTTACTTGCAGCGCCGCAGCAGTCGTTCTGAAATGACTCACAGCTCGTTAAAAACACACCTGCAACACCTGCGCTGCAGAAATACCTGGCTGGACCTGCAGCTGCTTCCCAAAGGTCAAAGGAGATGAAGACAGGTGTTATGTCACAGAGAAATGCATAATGTAGTTACACAACATTCTCAAAGCCCCTTTGGATACATGTTTTTATTATTCTTATTATTTAAGCCTTTTGTTAATTGGATCTATTCCTTTCGCTGGTTATTCCTCGGGGGAATTCAGGGTTGGGTGGTCATGGTTTGATGCCTTCATTGACTGATTCAATTTTTCAACACCTCCAGTTATAATTATTGTGTATAAAACCTGCTAAAGAGAAAGAACTGCTTACTTGAAGTAACTTAGGTCCTGATTTTATAACAGAATTATTGTACATACCATCTATTGTTTTTTTATGAGGAATCATGTAACTTGAATGTGCTAGAGTTAGATTTGAAAAGCTTTTTTTGTTTGTTTTTAAATTTCTTTGGGAAAATATTCAGCTTACATCAGAAATCAGAGCGGTACTGAATTTAATTTAGTTTTCTGGGGACTACTACACTTAAAAAAATTTAAAAAAATATGTTTCTGATTCTTTGATAGAAGTAGAGATGATTTGATTCCAACATAAAATGTAATTTAATATATAAGATTTTTCTTATCTATGCATAAAACTTGTGTTTGTAATCTTTATCAGATGTTTTTTTAATCTAAAAAAGTTTGGAAAATACCTGCTGTTGTGTCTGTGGACTGAAAGTAATGAAAGTTCTTAGTTTTGATGCATTTAATATTTTTTTTTTCCTGAAGGAAGAAATTGGC